CTGGGCCCAGGGAGACGGGGTCTCAGCCCAGGGACCAGGGGCTGCCCCGACCCCAGCCAGGGGCACCCCGAGGGGGGAGGGGTGCGGTTGGGGGGAGGGGAAAGTTCTGCCCCATCGCCCGGCCCCCCGCAGCCCAGGGACCAGGGGCTGCTCCCACCCCCCAGCCAGGGGGGACTCCGAGGGGGGAGGGGCAGGGTTGGAAAGTTCTGCCCCAGCGCAGGAAGGGGGGTGGGAGCTGCCGCAGCCGTGTGCCCCGGGGGGGTCTGAGTAGGGGGCGCTGGGGGCTGAACCCCTCAGAGGGGTGGGGCTGGGAAGGGGGAGGGGTCAGCCCCCCCCCCCCGAGACTGACCTGGGTCTGGGGCTCTGCTCTCTGCAGACAGGGGGCGCCGCAGCCAGACCCGGGGGCGGCGGGGGGGAGGAGGGGAGATTCCCCTCGTTACCCCGCCCCAGCGCGTGCTGCCCCCGCAGCTCGAGACGTTCTGTTACCCCCCAGCGCAGCTGGCGGACCGGGCCCATAGAGGGGGAGGGCGCTGGGCTGGGCGTGTCCTGCTGCGGCCCCGCCCCCCAGAGCCCCGCCCCCCGCTCACCTCGGCGGCCGACCATCTTCCCCGTCTGAACCACCCCGTAGTTGTACCGGCAGAACCGGTCCGCCGCAGCCCGCTCCTGCGCCAGGTACTGCTTGTTCTGGTTCCAGCCCTCGGCGTTGGCCCGCCCCAGCTCCGTGTCCGCCACGAACTCCCCCACGTCGCTGTCGAAGTGCAGGTACTGCTGCCGGTCCCAGATGTTCCTGAACAGGAACCGGACCCGCTCGGTGCCGTTGGTGAAGTAACACTCAGACTTGTACTGGATCAGGAAATGCTCTGGGGGGGGGGAGACGGGCTGCGCTCAGGGACTTTTTGCGACCAGGGGCTGCTAACAGGGAGTTTTGCAAGGGAGTTCTCCAGGTGAAGGAGGAGCAATACAGCACCCTTTTGGGGTAAGTGACTGTCTGCAGTGTGTGTTTGTTTGTGTTTGGGGGTTACTTGCTGTGTGCTGAGCTTGTGTTTGTCAGTCTGTTTGTTTGTTTGGTTGTTTGAAGGACCGTGTGCTGTGGCTGACAGTTGGAAGCTGTGAGCTTCAAAGGAAGGTTTGAAACCAGGAAGCCTCTGGTAATTGGCTGAGCCTTACTCAGTGGGCGGGGCATTCATACAGGCCAGGGCTTTATAAAGCAGCGCACAAGCGACCAGGGAGCGTTTGCGACCAGGGGCTGCTAACAGGGAGTTTCGCAAGGGAGTTGGGAAGGGGAGTGGGAAGGGGCGAGGGTCCCTTGCCGGTTCTATCTGTTTTCCCTTTATTCCCCTTAAAACTTTAAACTTCTTGCTTAATCAACCCTTTCAGCGGACAGGGGGCTGCAGAAGGGAGTTTGACAGAGGGAGGCTTACGATGGTTAGGAAGACCCGCAACACCTGTGCCAGCACTGCTTCTGTCTCCTCCACCTGCGCCTGTAGCCAGACAGAGCGCCTGAGCATGGATGCTTCTACCCAGATCCTGGTGTGGTTTTGCAGAGACTGTAACTTGCAATTTCCACTTACTGATATCCAGGCTGGGGGGACCATCCAATGTGAAAGGTGCCTGCTGGTGGAATCTCTCAGGCAGCAGGTGGGAGAGCTACAGGAGGAGGTGGCTAGGTTGAGAAGCATCCGAATCCACGAGCAATTCCTGGACAGTGTCCATGTGGAGACAGCTGAGGTAGCTGTCCCAGGACACAGGACTGCTGATACACCACTGGTGGAGGAGGAGATGGCTCAGGGTGGACACTGGCAGCTGGTTACTTCTGGCAGCAGGCAGTGCTCCACCCCTGCTCCGAACCCTCCCGCTGTGGTAATAGGTAACCGTTATGCTCTTCTTGATACAGGAAAGAAGGCATCACCCCCTACAGTAAAGGAGGAGAAGCCTCGTACCCCTAAGGCTGGGAGGTCTGCTGCCACCACTGCGAATAGGAAACGTAGGGTAGTGGTGGTCGGAGACTCTCTGCTGAGGGGGACGGAGGCGCCCATCTGTCGCCCTGACATTTCATCTCGGGAGGTATGCTGCCTGCCGGGAGCCCGTATCCGAGACGTTACGGAGGCATTGTCGAGGATTATCCAGCCCTCTGACTACTACCCCATGCTACTCATCCATGTGGGCACAAATGATACTGCGCGGTGTGACACTGAGCGGATCAAGAGTGACTACAGGGCTCTGGGAGTACGGGTGAAGGAGTTTGGAGCGCAGGTGGTATTCTCTTCGATTCTTCCTGTCAAAGGTAGGGGCCCGGGCAGAGACAGATGCATCATGGAGGTGAATGCCTGGCTGCGAAGATGGTGTCGCCAGGAGGGCTTTGGCTTCCTAGACCACGGGATGCTATTTGAGGAAGGACTGCTAGGCAGAGATGGTGTTCACCTTTCGAGAAGGGGAAAGACCCTATTTGGACACAGACTGGCTAACCTAGTGAGGAGGGCTTTAAACTAGGTTCGACGGGGACAGGTGAGCAAAGCCCGCAGGTAAGTGGGGAACATGGAGACCTGGGAGATGGGTCGGAGACGAGAGAGAGTGTGGGCTATATTGGCAGAGAGAAAGGAGGGTCAGGACAAAACCGGGAGGAAAGATCAAACCAGTATCTTAGATGCCTATATACAAATGCGAGAAGTATGGGTAATAAGCAGGAAGAACTGGAAGTGCTAATAAATAAATACAACTATGACATTGTTGGCATCACTGAAACTTGGTGGGATAATACACATGATTGGAATGTTGGTGTGGATGGATACAGCTTGCTCAGGAAGGATAGACAGGGGAAAAAGGGAGGAGGTGTTGCCTTATATATTAAAAATGTACACACTTGGACTGAGGTAGAGATGGACATAGGAGACGGAAGAGTTGAGAGTCTCTGGGTTAGGCTAAAAGGGGTAAAAAACAAGGGTGATGTCATGCTAGGAGTCTACTACAGGCCACCTAACCAGGTGGAAGAGGTGGATGAGGCTTTTTTTAAACAACTAACAAAATCATCCAAAGCCCAAGATTTGGTGGTGATGGGGGACTTCAACTATCCGGATATATGTTGGGAAAATAACACAGCGGGGCACAGACTATCCAACAAATTCTTGGACTGCATTGCAGACAACTT